ATTTCAATCATCCAAATGTGTGCCCTTTGTGGCAAACCTAGTGTGGCCTCATCGCACTTACTATTTACCCAGCAGAACGGTTTGTCGAGGGATTGACTTCACTTGTCTCTTTGACGACCCCTTTTTCGCAACTTAGTCGCAGCATTAGGGAGACATTATGGAACATACCTACTCCTGTGTCCTCTGTCATAGTACTCGCGATTTCCAACTTCGGACCATTGACTTGATACATTCCCAAACACTCTGCCGGCATCGTCAGTGAGAGACGCTATCATTAGCACAGAGCTACAACTTATCCTCAACTTGGATGTGAATACCGTGGCCTGCAAAATGCTGTGCTATGTATTTATCTTTTGCATGTGCTGTATTTACCTTATTTTAAGCGAATTCAGATTTTTTATGAGGAGCTTTTCTGGACGGATTAGTAGGCATTACTTTGTAACACTCTGATCCAGAAAAAGGATCCGAAACTTCCCGAATAAAGTACAGGATTGAGAAAAGAGGTAACTTCTATATTGTACATTATACATTAAATTATTATTCATTGTACTTTATACATTCTCTTGACACAATGTTCCCTTAACTTTTTCGCAATCTGACAGGATGGCAAAATCATGAAGCCGGTTGCTTAGCCCATCTATTAATCTAAATGGACGATTGTTAATAATTAAAATATCTCTCAATCTACCAATCTTCTTTCCAGGTTTCCGATGGGAACAATTCACTAATTCCTTCCAACCAACGTTTTCCTCGAAATTGAAGGTCGTGTTACTAAGGGCTTTTTAAAACCCAGCTTTTTCTTTCTATATAAATATATAGGGTAGTCGATTGAAATTATACTTATATATGCTTAGTCCGATAATAGATGTAATATGGAAGAGGCTTGTCTTACCTTAAACTTTCCGTCTGCTTTGTGGCACTCTGGCACTCGTGATAGTGCGGAGTAGTGCCAATATGTCGAAATGCTACGCTGCGCCACCTTTTGCTCCAACCCAGCTCGGATAAAAACATTTCTTTGGAGGCAAGGCTAAAAGAAATTCACTGAAAAATTGAGACTTTGGGAAAATTTAACTAACAGTCCTGCATCACCTAGTGCGGCCCATGATAAATCATTTATTGACAGCCTCAGAAGCGACTTTCTATAAATATTTCTGTGTGATATTTTCACCAAGACTGGGTGCTCAGAAATGCAACTCACCTGCAACCGGACGTCCTCATCCATCCTATGAACCCCATTCAGCATGGTTCTCTGATTATGCCCAAATGGAAACGCCTCCTCCGCTTCCTTGAAGATGCAGTGTCGGTTGAGACTGTCGAAAATGGCTGTCTTCATGTCTCCTGAAGGTCTGGAGTAGCAGTAACCGCTGGCGCCAACGCCAAGCGATGGCTCGGCTTTGGCCATTGCCGGCTGGCCGAATTCGCCCAATTCTGCCGGCCCAGACAAACCGGTACAGGCTAATCGTTTGGCGAGGCTCGCAATGCCAGCCTCGGCAGAGGCGACCTCGTCGGTACCAACCGGGATTTGGACTCCGGCCTCATCCTCGTAGGCCAGTACTGGGTAGCCGGAGTCCGGGCGGGGACTTCTTGTGCCAAAGTAGCCCGTTTCGTGGGCGGCCAAAGTGGCGTCCGGCAGGCCCAATTTCTTGACCGCTTGCGCCTCCGACAAGGCCAGCAGACCGGAGAGCGGCGAGGGCACGTAGTAGTCGGCCAGTCGAAGGCCGAATGACATTCCGGGCTCGGTCGACGAGTCGGCCAAAGAGGCAACTCCGGACTCCGAGATCATGCCAACTGCGAGCCCGACTGGGGTGACCGGGCTGGCGCTGCCGCTGACGCCGGGAGGAAGAGTTAGGCAGCCGTTTAGACCACCATTGTGGCCACCGCCGGTCGGTGACAGTGTTGTTGCGTTCTGGCAGGTGACCATTTGGTTCCCTTTCAGACTCGTGGAGGACGCCAGTGTGTACCTGTGGAACGGATGGACAGTGTGTTTGAGGAAAAATTAGTGGCTACTAGAAAGACGACTATGGCCGGCCCGATAAATCGCCATTTTGTGCGAGGCTGTTTGCACAGAAATAGTGAGCAGGCGGCTCAAAGCCTACACAAAGAATGCACAAATTCCCTCTTCTCAAACTGATTTGTATCTTTTGGCTATATTTACCTAACCAGGCTTGAAATGTTCTCCATTCTTATTCAGAAAACCGGTAGATCAGAAATATGAGATGTTTATTGTGATAAAGGAGTGGTAGATGAGTTTTCCCACATGGATACGTGTTAACCTTAATTGTCCATTGAATTTCGCATAGCCATACTTCCAAATAGATGTTCTCATCCAGGCTGGACTGCAGTCCCGACCTCGCGTAAGTTTTTTCAACATCGCCAGCGGGACTCGAACCATGACAGTGCAGTGTATAATCTCGACACATTAGCCACAACATCACAGTGCCACTACTGCCTTTAGATCAGACGGCTGATGTCAATTTCAGGGAAGGCCAGGCCTTTTCCCATATCAAACGTTTATTTGCTATAACAATCGACCAAGTAACTTATTTTTCGTATATAAGTAGAGTTTTGAGACTAGCAGTATATCAGTAATATGAAGGGCTGGTAGTAGAATTATGAGTAGAGCTGACGTTTCATTAAATTTCATACAGCTTTGCTTTAACAAAAGTTGTTCTCATCCAGGCACCAGTGGACTGCTGTTTCGACCTCGCATCGGTCTCATTAACACCCCAGCGGGAGTTGAACAGTGACAGTGCAGAATGTAAGCTTGACATGTTAACCCCTCGATCACATTGCCACGAGTGCCCTTGGGTCACAGGGCAGATGTGAATTTTAAGGAAGTCTAGGCCATTTTCAATATCACATTTTTTGGTGGGATTGTCAATGAAGCAAACGTAAATGGATGAGAACAACTTTTTGGAAAGCAAGGCTATGTGAAATTCAATGAAAACTTCAGCTATACTCATATAATTGTGGGAAAATTCTACTAACAGTTCTCCATCACCTTAAACGAAATAGGATGAATACATCTCATATTACTTATTTTTCATTTGCATGTAGATTTTCGAGATTACCAGTCGATTGCTATAGCAAATGAAAATTTGCTTCATCGACAAACCCACCACAGAATGTGATATAGGAAAATACTTGGTCTTTCTTGAAATTCACATCTACCCTGTGGCCCAATGTACTCGTGAAAATGTGGTGTAGTGGTTAACTTGTTTAAATTATGCACTTAACTGTCATGGTTTGAGTGCCAAAGGGGTGATGATGACACCTATGCGAGATTGAAACTGCAGTCCAGCCTGAATAAGAATACCTTTTTTGGAATCAAGGCTATGCAAAATTCATTGAAAATGTCAGCTAAACTCATATCGCAGTGGGAAAATTCTACTACCAGTCCTTCATCAACTTAAACAAAATAGAATGAATACATCTCATAGTCTTGTTTAGCTTTTAATTTGGCTCATTTTTAGGTCAGACTTGATCTCTTGAGTTTATATGTGGCCTGAGTACTTCTCTATGCGAGCCTACTAAAATAACTATGGTACGAAGATACATTGTGTTTTGAAGATCACTCATTAGGTTGATGTTGAGTATGACATGCTTTTTTACGTCATATTTATGGATTTATTAATATGATCTTCAAGAAAAGGATAGAACATTTGCGATATCCTTGGTGAGGACCGCTTCAAAACGGTTAATCATATATCTCATCTTTTCTTGGCTTTAGAAAGCCTATGTCCCTGTTATCTTCTGCCACACCTCCATCTCATTCTTCCTCATTATTCGGAGCACTTTTTCCGGCTTTATTCGGAACCGATAGTATGGAGCTGAACCGCTTCAAGTATAAATTTCTCTTATCTCTCAAGTTATCAATCCTACCTAATCCTACAGTTCTACTAAGTTATGTGTGCATAGATTTGTTGATAATTACCCTTATCAAGCATGCAATGACAGAAGCACCTACACACATATTCATACGTACTTAACTCATGTAATGACTGTCACATCCGAGTAGTTATGATATAGATTTAGATTCAGAAGTTAGAATCCTTAACGGAATACTATTCAGACGTTTATGATCCTTCATTTGTGTATCTCTAGATGGAACGATACCGATAAATCTTTATTGAAAGAGATTCAGGATTTGACTTCTCTCACTGCAGACGCCTTTTTCTGATTTTCATATTTCCCTTAAGATCCTCTTACTGTCGTTAAATAGATCCCTTTGCCTTTATGAGTACGTGTATCTAAGAAGCCAGCAGTAATAGCAGCTCAAAGTAATCAGGACAGGACCTAGAATTTGGCCTTGGTCATCAAGTTTTAATGATAATTCACTCCTTTGTTTTGTATATTTTAACCATTATTTTAATTTCGTAATTTAATACATCGGAATCGTTGAAGATTGCTTTGGAGACAGCGTCGGCAAGAAGATTCTGGTAAAGCTAGCCAATGTCTGACCATATGGTGGGTCCAAATCACTTTATTTCTCACTTAAATTCGAAATGAATGTGAGCTCAACAATGCTAAGCCAAGATATTCCTAGAAATAAAACTGTACTTGGCATATTTACTTTACTTAAGGCAACATCTATTGCCAACGAGAGTTCAAATGAGATGGTACATACTTAGGATGGCCCAGAAACAGAAAACAGTCTGTGCTCAGCTCTTTTTGGAATCC